CTCAGGATATCTGTGACTGGTGGAGGCCCAGACCCATTAAACTCCATATTCTGTGCATTGTTCCACAAATAGCCTGAACACGATGTTCCTCAGTGTTGGAAAAGATTAAACGATAAAGTTCATTGGAAATGATGTTCTGTTGCTTTAATGGTGCCAAGGGTAAGGTAGCATTAAAAGGAGAGGCTCAGAGGAGGAGAGGGGAATCTTTCATCTCTGGAAAGTAATGAAGAGGCCCAAAATAAGATCGAGGTCTGACTGTAAGTGGTGCCATCAAATTATATAGGAATATAATGAGTTCTACACCACCTAATTTCCATATGCAGCTCTATAACATTTCCCCCAAAGCAAAAGTGACACAATATTTAAACTTGGCTCAGAAGCCATTTAATGTAAAGGTTTGAGAGGAAGTAAAATCCAAATGTGCATACTTTGTTTCTTAGGGAGAAAAAGAGAGGTTAAAAGGAGAAGAAAGTGTTGCTCTTAGACCCTGTATCCGTGCTGTGCTCTGTTTAACTCTCCAACCTGCTTGTCACCTTTCCACCTTCCAGAATCAACCACATCCTTCCCAGCTAGAATTTTAAGTCCAAACCCCAAACAAGCAACAGATGCAGACAAAAGCAAGAAAATCAAGCACTTGATGAATGGCTGTGATATTTCACCCTGAGAATAAAAACCAGATCCAAAACACTCACTGATGACTCAGGAGAGCAGCTTCATCTCAGCATTAATGGCCCAGCAGTGCTCACCTACTACAGCAACCACCAATAACATTCAAACTATCAAATATTGAGGGAGAGGCATTAAAACATGATTAATTACCTTATGTAGCTTCACTATCTGCAGGTTTAAAACTCCTCGAGGTTTAGCAGTAGACAGGACATGGACAGAGCAGCCCTCACCTGGGGAAAGGCTGAGGAGAGCTGTGGTCTCCAGAAGGGGCAGCTGCTTAGTGCATGAGCTGTGCACGTGTGGAGACAGCCAAAAACCACATGGACTCGGGGTGGAGCTGGCTCAAAATCCGTTGATCTCATTAATATTTAAACACCTTCAGGTGTGCACAGTTTGGAGCTGTCCAAAAACCAGCTGGACAAGCGGTAGGGGTGGAGCTAAATCCGTTGATCTCATTAATATTTAAATACCTTCAGGTGTGTGTGGTTTGGAGCTGCCCAAAAACCACAGGGACAAATGGTAGGGGTGGAGCTAAATCAGTTGACCTCATTAATATTTAAACACCTTCAGGTGTGCACAATTTGGAGCTGTTGATGAACCAGCTGGACTCAGGGTGGAGGTGACTCAAGATCCGTTGATCTCATTAATATTTAAATACCTTCAGGTGTGTGTGGTTTGGAGATGCCCAAAAACCACATGGACAAACGGTAGGGGTGGAGCTAAATCCATTGACCTCATTAATATTTAAATACCTTCAGGTGTACAGGGTTTGGAGCTGTTCAGAACCAGCTGGATCAGGGTGCAGGTGGCTCTGCAGAGTCAGACCAGGGGAGCCAGGATTTGATTCCTGAGGTCCTTTCCAACCTCATCCTGAGAGTGATGATGCTAAAACCAGCTCACAGAGGGAGAAGGGGCTGCAGGGCCTGCAGAGAGCTCCTGACATACAGGTTCTCCACTCCCTGCTTGCTCAGGAACAGATCTGGAAAGCTGAAGTTTTCTGGCAAATATGGAATTGTGTCATAGGTTGTTACTGAATAGGTTCTTTCTCCCACATAAATCAAGAGTGAGTGTTATCTCCATAAGAACTGGATGAAAATCATTAATAAATAATAATTAGGTGTTTCCTGAGCCTGCCATCTGGTAAGCATTTCTCCCAGCCAGCAGCTCCTGCTCCCTGCACTTCTCCAAAAAGCAACAAGATGAACTCAGGCTCTTCCCTCTCCTCTGCCAGCCTCTTTGGGAAGTGCAGACACCAGGACACTGAACTCTCCCCACCTGGGCAGGTCTTCACCGCCCTTCCTGCTTATTTTGAACTCCAGTTTCTTAAAAACCAGCAAAGCCCAGAAGTTACTGAGCCCTGCCTCCCATCCTGCTCAGAGAAACACGTGGGCTCCAAGATAACCAAATTAATCATTCTAACCTGTAAGTGGCTGTCATTAGTATTATTATTTTCATCATATAAATTATCTTCCAGATTAGGTCATATGCATTTTGAGATCCTGTGGTTTCCTAGCAACTCCTCTCCCCATCTCCATGCAGACACAGTGTGCCGTTTGCTTTTCCTTTTTTAGCCTCCTGTGCAGGGGTTATTTCAGTAACAGTGATCTCAGGCCTGGCCCTGGTGACCTTTAGTCTGTCACATTTTGGGGAGAAGATGCAGAAGACAATCATCCCCCCCAAAATGACATTTGCAGCAGAAGGCCAGAGAGCCACAGGCTTCCACCTGCCCATCTTCTGTGCCCAGACCAGCAGCGCTGAGCTCTGCAGGACAGGGATGACAAAAACGTGCCCACATGTGGTAAAAACTGGCAGAATTTGGAAGATCTTAAACCCTTCTTTACTGTCAGGCTTGATCAAAGTGCCAGACCCCACAGAGACACAGGACAGGACCCCAAACACCAGGCAGAGCTTGTGTCCCTGACAGAGACACTTTCCAAAGAATTCACATTTGTACACAGACATTCACAGAAAAACCTGAGCTGTTGTTTTACAGTTGTTTCTAGTCCAATGAAGGAAACTGTCTGGAGGGCCAAACCAATTTTAGGCACCAATTTTAATTAACTTCTCTAGCTGAGTTAATCAAGATATCTACCAAATTTAATCACGGTGGGGACCCGGAGTTGGGCTCTGTGACGATCCCAGCCAATCCTTTGTGTAAGGAGAACAGGATTAACTTCTGTCCTGCCCCATTGACATTTTTTAAAATAACAACGTCTGTTCTAAACTACAAAAGCTGTGGGGCTTAATTATTTAGATAGCAAGTGGCCCTGTTTCAAAAGGGAAAGGGAACAGACCTCAGAACCGTCTCCATGTCAAAAGGGAAAGGGAACAGACCTCAGAACCGTCTCCATGTTCCTCAGAACCTGTACTCCACATGGAGTACAGCTATTAATATTTGATCCCCTGCCAGCCTGGAGGCAAAGGGAATAATGTTCATTACAACAGCCTGAGACTGAATCCACTTTCACAATTGACTGAAGATGAGGGTGATCCTGCCAGAGGTGGGGTAAGTTGGGCACTGGCAGTTCCTGCAGCAGAGGAGCTGGTGTTTTATCAAGCACAGAGAGAAATGGGAATCTTCAGTGGTGACCATCAGAGCATCCCTGGAAAATCCACCACTGCATCCACCTCTGATTAGAGGAGAGAGATCACTGTGAGAAGTAAGGAACAGACACACAAAGACACACACTTGCATTTAGAATAAACAATTTAATGGAGATGTGATTATCAGGAACAGAGGGACCGTGCCGTGTACCTGCAAAATGAAATATTGCTCATCCCTTATCCTGGCTCCCTCCCACAGCTCCCATTCCACAGCAGCATCCCCGTGGATTTTGTTCCAGGCCACAGCCTAAGGCCAGTCCTTTCCAGGGCCAAGAGTGACACAGCAGCTCGGGAAAGTCTCCAGAAAAAGTGGAGATCCAATTTCACTGCCTCGTTGTGTTCTCAGCCCGTGCCTTGGTACCTTGGCCCAGCACAGAGATCTCACTCTCACACTGATCAGGAGGCTCGGTGTTAAAATGGGACAAGGGAATCTAGGTGAGGGATAGAAAATAAAGCCAATTTCAGATGTCCCCATTTTGGGGGGGGCAAAAGAAGACCTATTTTTCAGACTGGTCATGGTCTGTGTCACCCAGTTAAAGCTGCAGACTTTACCCTGTGCATGGCTTCTCCTGAGAAATTGTCTGCTTGAGCACAAAGTCCTGAGGTTAAACAAATATTTCAAATATTTCCAATACTGAAGGTCAGAGTGGCTCACACCTGGGCAGGGATAGAGCTCCTGAAATGGATCCACTCTCTGGACCCACTGCAGATATTTGCCTCCTGCCTTTCCTCTTCCTACAGCGTTTACCCGTTAGCACCTCTAATTAGAAGGGAAAATCACGAGCTCCATGTTATTTAAGGGATTATGCAGCATTTTAAACTACAGCACAATGTAATTATTTTTTAATAGCTGCAGCTATTTCATGTATTTACTTTTAATGGTGTTTGAGTCATAAATTAACAGTAGAAAAGAAAAAAGGCAAATCACTCGACAGAGAAGCAGGCAGCAACTGAAAAGAAAAACTAAAATGCTAAAAAGAATTATCCAAAATAATCAAAAAGGAAGAGGTAGGGTCTTAGTTTTTCTTGCTGGCATTATTCTGGACTGCTTCTTATCACCTAACTTGTCCCCCTGGAGATGTGTATTTTTGGACAGTTATTTTATCAAGTGCCACAGTTAATGAAGTCCCAGTGCCACTGCAGGGACACAGGTCCGGGCTCAGCACGAGCAGAGCAGGGGACAGAGACTGCCAAGGACAGAGCTGGGAGAGAAAGAGGGGCTTGAGGGTGTTGGGGGAAGGGGAGAAATGGAGAACACCCAAACCCTGAACAGCCCCTGTGCCCCGAGCACGGCCAGGACGAGGCTGCAGCGCTCTGCATCTCACCCCCAGTGACCTTTGGGGAGCACACAGGGGCCTGCAGCGCCCCATGGCAGCACCCCACTCTTTATTCAGCCCTAACTCTGTTCTGTTCTCCCCACTCTGTTTATTCAGCCCTAACTCTGTTCTGTTCTCCCCACTCTGTTTCCCCTACTCTGTTCCCTCATCCCTAACCTCCTTGTCCCCAATCCCGTTCTCTGTCCCCCTAACCCCAGTGTCCCCAATCTCTCTCTGTCCTAACACTGCTGCTGTCCCCAATCTCTCTCTCTCTGTCCCTAACACTGCTGCTGTCCCCAGTGTCCCTCTCTGTCCCTAACACGCTGCTGTCCCCAGTGTCCCTCTCTGTCCCTAACACTGCTGCTGTCCCCAGTGTCCCTCTCTGTCCCTAACACGCTGCTGTCCCCACAGAAGGCGCGCCTGGCGCGGATCAGGGTGGCCAAGACCGGCAGCTCCAACGCGTACCTGCACAGCAAACGCAACGGGCTCCTCAACGAGGCCCTGGAGCTGACGGTGAGTGCTGGGCCCGCTCCCCTCCCCTCCCTGCCCCACACCCCGGGATGTGCTGGCACAGCTGGAATCCAGGGCAAAGCTCCCCCAGCTGCTCCTGGAGGCTCCGGGCTCCTCAGCCCCTCGGAGCCGTGCCCCTGGAGCTGCGCTGATTTACTCAGCCCACACTGTAAATACCCACTGCCTCCCAGTCAGCTTTTAGGAGTCTAATATCGACTATCTGATCCTCTCCAGCAGGACAGGAAAATATTCCCTGGCCCCTGTTTCAGTCACTCTGAGGGTGGGTTTGTTTTTGAAGGCCTCCGGAGGCCTCTGGCTGCTCAGGACGAGGAAAGTTTCAAGTGCTCAGGTTGCTCAGCAGAACCAGCAAACACGAGCCGAGGTTATTGCATTAACCCTGATCACCACCAGAGCAGGTATTAGCACATTTCATGGATTTCATTTCAAATAAATCAGCCTTTCGTGCACATGGAGAGCAAAGAGAGAGAGATGAAGAATGATTGAGCCCCAGAGCCCCCTAGAACTGATTTGTGCAGCATCACTTGGGATCTGATCCTCAGTTTCACTCTCCCTGGGACACATCCCTGCTTTTGTGCCCAGGGAGGAACAACAGAGCTGGGGGAGACTCTGGAGAACAAGTTCTCTGAGGAGCAGCTGAGGGAGCTGGGGGGGCTTTTCCAGCCTCAATGACTCTGTAAAATCAAGCTGAGAAAGCCTTGCAGCCCCTGTGAGAGCTGAGAGCTGCTCCCCAGGCTGTGAGCTCCGTGCAGCACCAGGTTCTGGCACCTGGGGTGTGCTCAGGGCAGCCTGGCACAGACAAACCTGACCCTTCACACCTGGAGTGTCTCTAAACTGCTCCACAGAAACACCAAGTCCAGGTTTGGAAGCTGGGGGGCCCAGAGCAGTTCTGTTCTCCCAAAAGAAGTTGGATCCCTCTGACTACACATCCAGCGTTGTCTCCTGCTCTGCCAGTGGCAGCCTCGCTCAGGAAATCTGTTCCTTGGACCATCTGGCACTGCTGAACAGCTCTGGAGAAGTTTCTGTATCAAGGAGAGGCCTTGAGTGCTCACACCTACCCCAGAGCTTTATCCCCACACAGGAAAGGCTCAGGACTGGGAAGTCAGCTCTGCTGGGATTCTGCTATTTCATTACCCAGAAACACGCAAAAATTTGACTACAAATTTTAAATCTCCTTCTCAACTTTAGGTTTCTGGTCTTTAAAATTGCCAGGAGAGCTTAGCAGGATCACTCAGTTTGCTCTTGATCTTCCAGCCTGTCATCCCAACAAGGATCTCCTCACTTCTCTTGTCAGCCAGAGCTCCCTGCCAAGAGCACTCAGGGAAGAGCAGCTGACACACCAATGCTTAAGCCCAAAATGCACGAGGCTGAGAGAAATATTTGGCTGAATGGGTTCATTTTCTGGCACTTGCCCAAAAATAAGTGGGAAAAGGATCATTTTGGCTACAAAGCTACTGTAGACACAGGAAGGAAAACAGAAACGTTTCTAAAGAGGTTCTAGAGGGTTTTTTTTTTACCCATTAATAACTAAATTTAGGTCTATAGGAGCTCTTACAGCAGATTTTCACAAGGTTTTCTGGCTGTAACTTCCTTCCTGGTGGGCTTATAGCTCTAAACCATAGAATCCCAGAAGGGTTTGGGCCAGAATCAAAACCCAACACGTCTCTCCCTCCCCCAGCAGAGACACTAAATAATTACAGAACTGCAGAGAGTTCTTCCCTACAGGTGAACATGACCAGCTTAACTCCATAAGACAAGATTTTATGTGCTTTCATTTCATGGCCGAGCAGCAAACTCTTCTAAAGAGTACAAAATGTGAATGACAGCAAGTCCAGACAGCCAAATTTCTTAAGCTGTAAAAACATAAAGGAACACGGCTCGTGTAGCTGCTGTAATAGGCACCAAAATATTATCTCCATACTGTGCATATTTGTCAGTGAAATTAGTGTCAAACTGCTTCCCTGCTCAGGTCCAAGGCCTGTTTTGACACCTTGCCCAGGATCTGTGTGAACAGGAACGGGCTGCACGTGGCCAGGCTGCCACAGAGCTGCCTCAGCCCCAGCAGCAGCTCCAGCTGCAGCTCCTCCATCACCAGCAGATGTTCTCTGCCATCCCCAGGGATCCCACAGCTCGGGGCTCACGGTGCCATGGGCTGGCAAGGCCAGCAGGTCGTGTGGCACTGGTCACCGAGCAGTGACAGCCCCACGCCGTCCCTGGCTGGGCTCTGCAGCCAAACCAACAGCCTGGAAAGGCAGGAGAGCTCAGGATTCCGGAAGGTGTGCTTCCACCAGCACCAGGATGGACACACTGACACCGCCTTCCAAGGGTCTCCAGCCTGGAGCCTCCCATCAGGGGAAAAGGCAAAGAAAAGGATTCATCCGAGGACAGCAGCAGGAAGGAGATCAGCTTCCAGTGACAGAGCAGACTCGTGCTCCACAAACGTGTGGATTTGTGGCATTTGCCATCTAGACACGAAGTACTCAGACTGTTTTTGTCTCATTTAGAGATTTTTTTAGTGGGCTTTATGTCAAAAGTGCTCAAGGGATGGTGAGATTCTTCCCATGGCAGCAGCCTACATATCCTCTTAGCACTAATCTCCTTGTACAGCTGAAATTCCCTTTTAGCTGCAGTGCCAGGAGGTGAATATCCCAGGAACGGGAGGCCGGGAGCTCTGGAGCTTTTTCACAAGCCCCAGATAAGCACTGGGCAGGGCCAGCCCAGCCCCTGGAGCAGCTCAGCAGGGCCCACTGATGGAGCATCATGATCCAGGTAAAGTGGAAGAATTTTGGATTTCAGAACTGAATTTTGGATTTCAGAACTGACACCTCAGTGTGCTGCAGCCTCCCCCAAAGCGACCAGCGTTCACTGAACGCCTTCCAAGAGCGAACTGAACGGTAACTGGCATCAGATCCTGGCAAAACTGGCATCCCTGCCTCTCCTTCCCCCACCAGCTCTTCCACTGCAGCCAGACCCTTCTGCTGAAGACCCAGATTTTGTTTGCCTGCAGTAACACAGGAACCACTGATGCACATCCTACGTCTGTAGGATCCCTTTCCTCAGCACCACTCCCAAAATGCCGAGTGCCTGGGATGTTGGCCCTGGCCCAGGGCAGCAGTTCCTGCAGATCTGGTGCCTCCTTTCCACCTGGGATGGCCTCGGGGGTTCCTGCTCTTTGCTTCTGCAGACACTGAGCTGACTGAAAAGAATCCCAAAGAAGAGAAGGTCCAAGTCCCAGTCCCTGACATCCCTTGAGGTCATCCCTGGTCACTGCTGTCCCCTGAGCCCTTCCCCCAGGGCCAAGCCCAGCGTGTGATGGGAGGCAGAGGCAGAGCTGGGCTGTGCTGCCAACTCCTCACAACTGCCTTGGCTCTCCTGCCAGAGCTGCGGAAGCTCTGTCTTGGCTTTCAGCTCCCATTTCCATTTCCTCTCAGGCAAATCCTCATAAAAAGATACTGTTTGCAATATGTGCTCTCGCTCTCTCTTTTCCCAGTGTTTTAGTGCAGCATCATCTCTGCTTTAGGGCTTCCAAGGAGCTCCATGGGAAATATTCCAGCCCAGACTCCAGTGGAGTCAGTGTTCCCAGCAGCAGCCAGCAGAACCTGCTGGATGTGTTACCTCACCAGGAGGATTGTTAATAAGAAAAATGGAACTGATTTTTGTTTTTAGGCCACTTCTAAAAATACATCTGGGAATGTTCATCTTCCAAAACAACAGCAACAAAAAATCCATAACCTGCCTAAGATGCATTCCCCCAGGAATCTATTAATTCTGTGTTCAGGAAGTCGGCTTCCTTAATGTACCACTTCAGCTGTGTTTTGGCACCTGTCAGAGTTATTCCTCCACTAAAGGATCCCAGCAGCAGCCAGGATCCAGAGCAGGCCCTTGCAGGGAGCAGTGGCACACAGGGGCGTGTTTAGGTGCAATGCTTTAACCACAGCTGAATTTGATCCTCTTGAGAGCAACAAGCAATGTCCTGGCAAGATGTTCTGCCAAGATTTCCTCTCCTGAGCAGCGCTCAAACCATGCACATCCATTTTTTACCTCCAGATTTAGCCATAAGGGAGGACACCCCTTACTTCTGAGGCACTGGGAACATCTGACACCACCCAGCTGCTGCTTTAACGCACCTCATGGTGTTTGAAAGCGTTCATCCTCAGAGACACCACAGATGTGTGGATGTGGTGGAGTCACAGGCAGTTTAGAGACTGGAAATCCAAGCAGCAGCGAGAGAATCCCCTCATGGCTGGGGCTGGAGCGTGCTGTCCTGCTGCCCTGTCCAGCCGTGCCCCAGGAGCGCCAGGGCCAGCCCAGGCAGAGCCAGGGGAGCGGCACAGCTTTGCCTGGCCTCCAGCACAGGCTCCAGGTCAGGGCACATCTGCTGCCCTTCAAAGGTCACGGCAAAATCGGTCTTAATGGCTTTTGGAAAAGCACAGCAGCACCAAGTCTTTTCCTCTTTGCTCTCTGATTCCTGAGCTTGGCACCGTGAGCCAGCAGCCCTGCCAGCTCCAGAACTCCCAGAAACACACAGGGTCTGAGTCCAGCCCGAGCCCCCCGGGGTGGACAAGTGAAATCACTGAGGAAAAGCCTGAGGAAACTTCCTAAGAGGCAGGAGAAAAACCCGAGAGCCGGCAGCACTGGAATTGTTGTGTTTACCCCTGTGGCAGCTCCTGCCGGTGCTGCTGGTCCTGTTTGTTTTCCTGCTTTTACACCCGGTTTGGGTTTTGCTCCCCTCCTCTCTCTCTCTGTGGCTATTCAGGGATCCACCGAAGAGGAGCAGCACATGACTAAAGGCACCTCCTTAATCGAGAGCCAACACCACCATCTGCTGCACTGCCTGGAAAAAACAACCGTAAGTACCAGCAGAGCTTCCCCAGCCGGGGGGAGATTCCACTCGGGGGCTCTCAGGGACCCCAACACTCCCTGCCAGGGCTGCTGCTGCTCCTGGGCTCCCCAGAACGGTCTGCAGTGGGTTAAATGTGCTTCTGCTTCATTGTCGTGGGAAGAATAATTCCTGTGCAGAGGGATAAAGATGGGATTAGCTGCTCCCCTCAGTCCCTACACCTGTACTTCATCTGAGCACACACAGATTCCAGAGAGAGGTTAGGCAGATCCTAGAATAGGATGTTTCATTTCTTCAGTGCTCCTGAAAGAGACCCAAAGTGCATTTCCCTCGTGCTGTGGGTCACACATCTCTCCCCCATCCCTGGTGCTGGGCAGCACTAAGGGACAGCTCTGCTGCCTTGGGAGGAAGATGCTGCTGGGGACTCCAAACCACAGCCTGCGAAAAATAACCTTTAGCCCTGGGGATGGCTCAGAGAGGATGAACTCTGTTCAAGGGTTTAAAGGTTGCACACATCTTTTCTCATCTCTGTCTGGCTGCAAGGGCAGGTGATTTATCTCAAAGCCAGTTTGTACAGCATGACTTTTCTGTTTGCATCCTGCAAGGTGTTGGGAGCCAGAGTTTCACTTTGCTTTACTGACTGATTGTGTATGCAGAAGTCTTTGGGAACATTTCAGATATTTATTTGATACATATGTTTTGCTTCCAGGTTTATATAAAAGGTTCTGCAGTAAAGAAACACATTATCTAGACCATGATTCATTCTAGGGAGAATGAAGGGAGGTTAACACTTGAAATATTCATGCATTTTTCTATCTGCATCCATCATCAAATGTACTTTTGATTTCTAACTTGCAAGGGTTTCTTTTAGACAAATCACCTTCACTTCCATAGTTTGGCTTGTGCTGGAATAGCACCACTTAGGCCTCAGAGATACACTGGAAGAAGCTGAGTAATTAATTACAGTGACCTGAGCCTAATGAGCTCTTAAGGTCCCTGTGCCAAGGGCAGTGAACTGATTCTTCCTGTATCAATGAATTTGTTTTATACAACTCATGCTGCCTTTATTTCAATGTTACATTACCAGCAGATATTTCACAACCTGACTCTTCAGTTTAAAACTTTCTGCCTAAATCCTCCAGCACCATGACCCACATTTCACAAAAACACTTTCATTTGGAAACGTGAACAAACTGGCTGAAGCAAACAAAAGCTGCAGGGTCTGCTCCTTTAGAAAGGCTCAGTGAAATTCTGAGCTGTGCCTGGGCAGGTGAACATCTCTGGGGCTGCACAAGATGCTCCATCACTCATGAGCTGAAGGAACTGGCCAAAGTGTGCCCTAATTTGGGCCATGGTGCCCTAATCAGTGGTGTGGTGCCCTGTCTGTGTCAGCCCACCTCACCAACAAAGGCTGATGGCTTCCAGCTCACAAAGCTGCTCAGACAGAGTCACAGGAATTGACAGTGTTCCAAACGTTCCTCTTTTTCAGCAAACAGTGGCAATAATAGTGATACTTGAATTTTGGTTAAAACTCAGCAGGAGAATCTGCACACTGGGGTTTTCCCTCCTGTTTCTCAGCCAGTTATTGCCATGGTGTAGCACCAAATCAAGCAGCAGGTTTGGATTCTGGTCTGGAATTATCAGAAAGTTCGATGGGTTTGTGTGGAGATCTGTACTTCATGAAATCTGTTCAAGCACTGTGCAACAGAAAATTTAAATCACAGTAAAAGCATTTTTAAACACTGAAGAGTCATTTTGTGAGCAAGTTGCAGGAATGGAATGAGGAATGTACCATGGTTGCAAGCTTGTTTCAATGGGCAATTCACCTTTCCTGAAAGCAGGCAGAGGATTCTCAAAGTCCATTATTTATTGGCCTGGTCTCTGGGTTGTCACTGGCACGCACTTCCAGCTGAGAGGCTGTGAATGGTCCCAGATCTGCTGTCAGATGACAAAGTGACCCTGGAGCACTTGTAGCTGCCACAACAGAGATTACTTTGTCATATTCCCACAGCAGATGGAGTTGGTTCAAACAAAAGGAGGATTTTTTCCCCTCTCATTCCAGCTCCCAGATTGAGTCTGGACATTCACAAGCTGTGTTTTCTCCAAGTGCTGAGTGCCTTGAACCCAGTCCTTCAACCCAAGCCCTTCTTTGGGGTTTGATCAAACCCCACAATCCATTGGTGACACCACAGCAAAACAATCCCAATCTGGGATTTGTGAATCAGCAGCTGAAACCTTCTTTGTCTTTGCCTTTGGCTCTCAAAAGATCAAAGTGATAAAGTTGTTCTGGGTTTTGTTGTGCTTCCATGAACGGAACACTCAAAAGCTGAATTGTCAGAAGGATTCTGGCTGAGGGAGGTTCTGTTGCCCATTCAAACTCGAGCTGGAATGCTGAGGCGAGAGATGCAGTGCTGGGACTAAACTTCTGAATGCTGGAATGGACAATGAATTGTGTTTTTATCTTCTGTTGGCATGTTGTCCCGTAGGGATTGTCCTATCTTGTGGATGATCCCCTGTTATCTGTACGAACTTCCACCATCAAGGTATTTCCTTTTCGATTCGATCTGTTTTCTCTGTGCTCTCTGTGACATGTCTGGACAGTGTTTGCTCACTTCTCGTTCTGCTCTTGTCCTGGGGTGTTTGTGCACGTGGCTCCCTTTGGCTTCCCAGTGCTCTTGTTCCCTGTGAGAGTTGTTTCTTGTTCCAGTGATCTGGTGGCTGCCTTCAGCATGGTTGCTTTTGTTTCCCATCTCTTCTGAAGCTGACAGGGACCAGATGAAGTCTGTTCACTCTACCTGGGTGTTCACAGCCACACATATGAGTTCTCTCTTTCAGGATTTCTTGTTCCTTAGCACAAAAGCTCTTTACAGATTTCTGAATTTCCTTCCCCCTGAACACTTCCCCCTCTTCACTGCCGTGTTTATTCCTCCCAGCTCATGCACTGCAGGGATGAACCCAGCAGCCAAAGCAAGCACTAAGTTCTATGGCCAGGTGATCATCCAAATAAAATGCAATCCTGTCCCCGGGCACAAAGGAAAAGGAGAGTGAACTCCTTTTGGGTTTAATAACCATGTGGCATTCCAGACTTTCTGAGACCATTCTGGAATCCAGACAAAAAAATGAACAGAAATTCAAGCCCTATGGATCTGACCCCAGCAGATTGACCACCTCAGACTGTGTGAGCAGGGCAGCAGTGGGGCCCTCCTTTGCTCAGTGCAGCAGCTCCTCTCGTTTCCCTGCTGGCACAGGAGAGCGAAATCTTCCCTGGCTGCAGCGAGGGCAGAGCAATTTCTTTTTGAGACCTGCCCAGTGCGGCCCTGTCCGGGCACAGAGAGCATCTCCCCCAGCGAGCTCCAGGGCTGTCCCAGGCACTGACAGCTCTGCTTCTCCCTGCCAGAACCACGAGTTCATCGACGAGCAGCTGTTCGAGCAGAACTGCATGGAGAGCTCGATGCAGAACTACCCCTCATCCCGCAGCCCCTCGCTCTCCAGCCACCCCGGGCTGGCCACGTCCTGCTGCTCCCGGCGCAGCAAGAAAACCACGCACCTGCCCAACTCCAGCGTGCCGGCCACGCGGCTGCGGAGCATGCAGGAGCTCAGCACCATCCACATCCAGTGCAGCGAGCAGCCCTCCCTCACCACCAGGTACGGGCAGGGGTCGTGCTCAGCGGGGCTGCCAGGGCTGCTGGGGCTGTGCCCGGCTGTGTCCAGCTGTGTCCAGCTGTGCCCGGCTGTGTCCGGCTGTGTCCGGCTGTGTCCAGCTGCAGGGCTGTGTCCAGCTGTGTCCGGCTGTGTCCGGCTGTGTCCAGCTGTGTCCAGCTGCAGGGCTGTGTCCAGCTGTGTCCGGCTGTGTCCGGCTGTGTCCAGCTGTGTCCAGCTGTGTCCGGCTGTGTCCAGCTGTGCCCGGCTGTGTCCAGCTGTGTCCGGCTGTGTCCGGCTGTGTCCGGCTGTGTCCAGCTGCAGGGCTGTGTCCAGCTGTGTCCGGCTGTGCCCGGCTGTGTCCAGCTGTGCCCGGCTGTGTCCAGCTGCAGGGCTGTGTCCAG